TTAATTAACTCTTTGCAGGGGGAGTATTTCACCAGACTTCTGAGAACAGGCTGGTGAGCTGCCTGCAAAGGTTAAATGACGTGCATGGCAGGAATTGTGTAAGAATCCCTGCACAATCATTAATGGCCTTTCTGCGCAGATGGGTTGTGTGAAGGGAAGTCCACCTGGCACAGTCACTGCCCCTGGCTCCCTTCTCTGCTGCCCTGTCATTGATGATAGTCCAGAATAGCTGAGCCATGTGGTGGAAAATAGACTCTCTGAATGACTCCAGTGCTCTGAATCTCTCATGTGTTTATGCTGCTCTGTCCTCACTGGCTGGGGCAGCAACAATAAAACGTGGCTGCAGATCATTCACAAACACATCATCAAGAGCCCTCTCTTCCCTGTCCTCACCTCCTTACTCTCCTCTTTTCTTCACCTCATTATTCCTTTCTCTTCTTTGTTCTCACCTCCTCCCTCGGTCCTGCTTTGTTCTCAGTGCTGGGACTGAAGACCAGCTGGAGGTCTGACCTGCTGATGGCTGAGCTGCTCCAGGCCTTCTCCCACCCTACAGGGCCTTTCTGACCAGTTTGCCACTGGGTATCTCAGGGGCACCTCTCTTATTCCCACTGGTCAGAAGGAAATGTCACCACTTGCTTGCCTCATGCACACTCCTGGTTTTCTGCTTTTAATTTGTTGAAGTACCTGGGGATGTTCTTGGTACATGACTGGTGTTACTGCACAACCCCCTCATCACGTCCCACTGCCTTTATGAGTCCTATTCCACCCTGCTACCACCCAAAACTGCTCCCTTGCTTATTCAGTTCTCCACTCATCTCAGCAATTTCACAACTTTCTGAGTCATTTGGGATAGATGGAGTTGTGTTGGAGGCTGAATGAAGGACTTATTCTGCCACAACAGCCAAGGGGGGTAAAATCTGCCTGGTGGTGTACAGCAGTTAATGTGAAATAGCTGTGGGAAGTAATTGTGCCTGTGGATCACCAAGCACGGCTGTGTAGTGTTTGGTACAGAGGTGAAAGTACCTACACAGCTGTAAATAAACTGTGTCTGAGGCTCACTTCACCAAGGTCTGGCATCCCAGATGACTCTGGACCAGGCATGCAGTTGTTATTTGCAGTGGCCCAGGCTGATGGGGAATAGAGCTAAACACAAAGTAACTTGTGAATCTGGGAATGATCCCACCAGTGTGGTGGAAACCCACTGAAATCTCCCTTGGCATCATGCTTTGAGGTGCTCGTGTGTGATCTGCAGCCACGTGGTGTCAGAGGACCATGCTTCAACCCAGGCACAGTTAACATTTTCTGAGACATTTTACTTCCCTTTGTCCTGCCATGGAGCTTGGCAGGTCTCTCCATCCTTGCTCCCTGAATAGTTGCTCTCATGAAAGTGGAATCCCAGCTGCAGCAGCATCCCAGGGTGATCAGGCACCTTGGAAAGCTCTAGAATGTGTGTTACCACACAGCAGTGAGATATCAGGGTTATGAGAGACAGACCTGTATTCAAACCTTAAAAAAATCCATTAGGAATTCCTGTGACTGAAATAAATATCCCATAAATACCATGTGTGCAGTACGGTCTCACTGTTTCCAAAGAGAAAAACAGAACCAGGGATGACCCAAAAAAGAATACAAAGACAGCATTGCTTCCCAGCTAGGGAGGGAGATGCTGGCTTTGCCTGTAATACCACAGGCAGCACAGGGGAAACAAGTGGGGATAATGACTAGTTTTTTCTAATACAAAGGCCAGAATAGGGCAGGTTAAAAGAATCAGCATGGAAAAATGGCCTTGCATGCTGTGTGCGTAGCACTGGAGCTCTTTTCACAAATATTGTGGGTGCTACAAGATTAGATTTATTCAAACAGCAACTAAACATGTTGGTGGAAGTATCCAGCAAAGGCCACTAAATGTGACACCACTGTGGCTGCCCACTGTGGCTGCCTTGGGTTGTCTCTGAGCTGCCCATCCTGCATGGCCTAAGGAAGATTATCACTGGTCTTCTTTTTTAATCTTTGCCACTATTAGGGCCAAGACAGGGCTTTGGCTTGACCAGTCCCATAGTCTGAAATGGCCCCATTTCCTGATGCTGTCTTCTCAACAGAGAACTGCCTCTCTCTGTGGCCTTTGCCACATCTCTGAGCTGACAAATGGGCTGGAGTAAGATGATTCCATGGTTCAGTTTTAAAACACTTTGTGCTTCCTTGTGATGAAAGGCAAGGTACTTGCAGGAAACAGGGTTGAAAGGATAAGGACATTAGAAAGATACTTCTGGAAGAGGTGATCACCCCGTATTTTCCTGACAGGCACAGCTCTACTGGCAGCCCTCCCCTAGAAGTGCCCAACATGCCCAAGCGTCAGTTGTGACAGGACCTTTTTTACCTGTCTAAAAGGGACAAAATGGTTTCTATGGGATGAAGATCCCATGCAATCTCTGGCTGATGAGCACTGTAATCCTCCCTGTATCACATCACACAGCACTGCATCTTCCCATCCACCTTTCTTGGTGGGTTGGGTATCTTCTTATCTGGGGTGTTTCCTATGGGGAGGTTTCTGGGCTCTGTTTTCAGTTCTCCCTCTCTGCCCCTCTCTTGCTGTGGCAAGACTGGCTCCAAAATCATTCCCTGTAGGGTTTATGATGTGAGACTTTGCCAGATGGATTGTTTTGCTTGCTACCAAGTGATGTGTTTGATAGTTGCAGGGTGACAGCTCCCTGCAGCCTGTGCTTGTTCTTCATCCATGTGCCTTTCAATTTGTACCAGCTATTTGGCTGATGAAGTTTCAGTGCTCCCTGATCCAATGGTACACTTTCAGAGACCCACACTTATCAGAGACCCACAGCTCTCCTCTCCTGAGTAGAAATGTGCTACTATCTTGTAAAGGTATAAATTATAAAGCCTTGTCTGTATAATGAGTCTGCATTCCTCAGATAAATTACACAGACTCATAATGGCTTTGGCTTTTAGTTACCATTAATCTTAACTGGAAGGGAGTGCTGAATTTCCTGCAGAAGTGTGGGATTCTGATTTCTGAAAGAGTTTCACTGGAGGCTTGGTCAAACCATCCTCTGCTCCAACACTCCAGTGTGTGCACCCTGCTGTCCGCATTTGGCTCCCAGCTGGCTGGCAGGACGTGCCCTCGGGGAGCAGCTGCTGTCCCAGGGCTGTGAGCATTTTGGGTCTCTGCTGGAGTGTTTTCCATGTCTCGTTAGCAGAGCACTTTGGGACAGCTTGCTGTGCCCTGGATAACTGTGAAAAGACAGAGCCAGAGGCAATGGTTATTCAAGGCAAAGCGTGGAAATAGCTCTGCTCCGTGCACAGCCCTGGCCTGTCAGGCAGTGGGAGGCTTCCACTTCCTTGTGGGAATGGCAGACAATGGATGGGACAGCACATGGGTTCAGGCAGGCTGAGCAGGGAGCTGGTCCTGCCCTGAGCCTTGCTCAGGTAACAGTGTGGGTGCTCCAGCTGGGCACAGCCCAGAGGGAATCTCCTCTGGAGAGACACGGACCACGCATCCTGCAGAGAATCCCAAACACATGAGAGACAGAACAAACTTGTCCTGGTTCCTTGTGTGCCAAGCATCACCCACATGTGAGAGGCTTCACAAGGTGCTGGGAGCCCTCCTTTGCCTGGGAGAGCCCAGATGTTCCCAGCAGGTTGGGGCTGGAGCTGGGAATGCAGCCCTGGGCTCTGATGTGTGTGCTGCAGCCCGAGGCAGCCCCGGAGCCCCTGCAGAGGTGGGATGGGCACAGGGCTGCCCTGGCTCCCTCTGGCACAGGCCATGGCTTGCCCTGCTGCTCCTCGTGGCTCTGCCTGGCTCCTGCCTGGCTCTGGTCCAAGCTTTCTTCCTCGAGTCCTGTGTCAGTGAGGAGTGCAGTCTCAGTGATGGTGTCACAAACCTCTCCACGAGGCTCGTTCATGCTTTGGGAAACAGGATGGAAGAGAATATCTCCTCAGAAGCTTTGACTACAGCATAAAAGGTGCTGCAAAGTAAGCAGCAGCCACACTGCTGGAGGTGTAACTGTGATAGGGTCTGAGCAAGGTGGGTAGTCCAGGAAAGGGGACTATTTTTAATGAGGTTAAGTATTCAGCTGTAAAAAATCCATGCTTTTTAGTGCCCAGCACTGCTTAGACTTATGTGAAGATGGGTCTGCATTCCACAAAGCTGCTCACCTTCTGTAACCTCTATCAGTGCCCTAACAACTGATTTTTTCCTTCCTGAAAGCCTTTGTTTTACCTTTGGAGACTCTGCTTTGGGCTGTAAGCTTATCAGAGTCTCTCAAAGGCAGGAATTACAGTGAAATTCTGCAGGTTTTCTTGTCGCTTACGGGACTGTAAAGCTTTTTTCTAGAAAGAAGTTTAGATTTGGAAAAGCATCTGTATCCCAGGGAACTGGAGTCATGCTGGCTGCCTCCCTCAGCACGAGCTGGGGCTGGTGACTTCTGCTGCACTTTGCTGGTGTGGCAGGGACAGATGGAGCTGTTCTTGCTTGTGCCAGACCTGCTCCTAGCTCTGAAAACTCAACTGGCAGAGGTGTGGAACAATGCAAAGTCCCCTGCAGCACCTCTGGTCTGGCTCCAGTGTCTTGAGGTGCTCTGGCCTCAGCAGCACATCACTGGGACTCTGTGACTCTGCTGCTCCTCTTCTTCCTGACCTCCTGCTTGCCTGCTGGCACAGCATTCCGAGCATGAGGGAGGGCCAAGGACAGTGGGAAAGGGGCACTTCTCTACAGCTTGCCAAAAAAATTATCTTGTACTACATGCTGGCTGCTTAGAGGAAGATGAGTCTTCAACTCCTCACTCACCTGGCCCCTTTTGCTGGGAAAGGAAGGGTCAGGTTTCAGCCCCGGGACCTGAAGGTGGGTCTGAAGGCACAGGCTAAGGTTTGTAGCTCTGGGGTTTTTACTTTGGCAAATTAACTCGAAGAAAATCATGTAAGGAAGGAGAATTGCCAAACAAAGGAAATAACAATATATCCTTTTTGTGTGTTTTTGTTTTCCCCTGCAGTAACCACAACTCTCTCCTCCTGGTCCGGGCATGCCAGAAAATGCAACGAAACAGCCAAGTCCTATTGTGTCAATGGAGGGGTGTGCTACTACATCGAGGGGATTAATCAGCTGTCGTGCAAGTAAGTGAGTGGAGTTCTTGTGTCAATATGGAAATTTCTTGGCTGAGGGAGAGGAGACCTTTGTGCAACTACCAGACGGGGTGGGGAGCTCAGAAATTCTCCTGGCAATTGCAGTTTGAGCTGTGCAGGTTCAGAAAGGGGCACTAGAGGGGCAAGGGGAGGGGGGCAAGGATTTGTATTTTCCTTTTCTGTGTGTGTATCACTGTTCACTTTTCCTGGCTTTTCTCCCCTAAGAATATGTTTGTCCTGGCTGTTTCTTTTCCCTTTCTCCCCTTTCTCCTCTCTAGCTTCAAGGAAATTGGGGTCCCTTTTGCTCTCCCTGAGCTGACACGTCCTGTGCTCCAGTCAGGGACACTTTCAGGACACAGCCTCCTCCTTCCCCCATGGCTGGAGGGGTTCCCTTGCTGTACCTCATGGGCCCAGGGTTAACCCCCAGCTGTTCCCCTCTCTGTGCAGCTTTGTGGCCACTTTATGGGATGTTTGTTTCCCCCCTTCAAACCTGCAAGAAAAACTAGAGATTTGTTCTAAGTTATCCTTAAAATGAGCTGTGAAGAGTCTGAAGTGGGGCTGCACAGCCTGAGGGATTTGTAATGGGATGTGAGACTTTTTCACCCCTGGTTCAGAGCCAGAAAGGCCAATGGCATCTCACACCTTACCCCCAAGCCTAGTAGTGCCTGTGGACAAGTTGTGCAGTCTGATTGCCAGTGCTGGAGGTGCAGGTACCCAGAACTCACCTGTATCTGCCCCTGGGCTCCTGCACAGTGAGCAGGACGTGGTGCCCTGGGTGTGCATTCACTGAGCAGATGGAATCTCCTTCTGAGCTCCCCTCGTGACCCAGGCATCACTTCCAGTTTTCTCCCTTTGGAACCCAGAGACCTCTCAGTGGAGACACAGCCAAAGGTATTTGCATCTGTGGATGTCAGCCCAGCAGCACTGCAGGATGTGATGCTCATCAGGTACCTCAGCTCCTCAGGCCTTGGAGGATGCACTGAACACAACCCTCACCCCCCGTGGAAAGCCTGAAAGGGCTGGATCACACTGAGCACAGCTCCTCCCTTCTCCCAGTACTGCTTTGATTCTGCAGGGAGCAGCAGAAAAGGCCATGTGGAAATGTGTCCTGCTGAGCCCTTGTGTTCTGGCTTTCCAGCGCAGCTGTGATGGAAGGAGCATCTCCCAGGCTCACCCCTTAGACACTGAAAGAGCTGGGCAGGACAGAAACCAGAAGCTGTGGCTTCCATGTTTCCCAGATGTGCGTGGAGTGGGAGCAGCCCTGTCCACCCCAGCCCTGTGCTTTAGTGTAGTTGTCACTGCCATTGGCTTCTTGGTGGCACTGAGGGCTCCTCTGGTCAGTGTTCCCCACGGGAAGCATGGGAGAAGCCCCATATGATGGTTAAAATCACAGCCCCCCTTCTGGGGTAGCTGCAGCCCAGGAAGCCCCAGAGATTCCAGTCTTTCCATTCTGGGAAGGGCTGAACCCTTGAAGTGTGGAGGAGTGTATGAATCAATATCTGCAAGCAATGTGGTCATGGCAGGGGCACAGATTTCAAGGCTATTTCTTTTGGGAAGAACCTGAATGCAGATCAAGATTCAAATGGGATCAATTTCTAATTACAACAAGAGTTACCTGAACTCCTACCATGCGTAAGAATCACTTTTTCCTAATGAAGAATACTGTGGTAGTTGTCAAAAGTCTTCAGCAGCTAGGCTGTTTTAGCCAAAGCAATTCCAGCCTACCTTCCAACCAGGCTGCTCTGACAGATGATGAACAGAGGGAACGCGCAGTGATGGATTCCATTATGATTTTATGTGCCACACCAAACAGACCTAATTATTTCATATCATTTGAAAGCCTGAATTCCTCACTTTGCAGATGGTAAAATGATATCCTTTCCTGATGAGTTCCAAGGTACCAATTGCTAAAACCAGATGGGAACTGAACAGCCGTGTGTGGAAGGGCTGGGAAGTGTTATCCAGAAGGAGGTGCTGGGAAGGTCTGCACTGTCACTGCTCATCTGCCAGAAAAGGTGGCTTCATGTTCACAGAGTTGGGTCCCCTGGGTTTCTGTGCCTTCCACACAGCACAGTCACTTCTGATCTTACTGCTTGAGGTCATCTCTGGATGCTCATTCTCCTTGAGTGTTTTTATCATTAAATCTCAGATTGAAGATAAGAAAACCTGGCTTTTGAAGTGGTGTAATTTTAGAGTTTCTGGATTGTAGAGGATAATAGCTATTGAGGAATGTAGAAGCATTTGAACTGAAAAATGTTTCCCATAAAATGTCTCTCCCAGTGACAAGGTTGAGTTTTGGGGATGCTGATGAATAAACAGACTTCACCTTTGCCTGCAAACAAAGAGCTGATACACTCCATGGCTTCTTCATTGCACCAAGGCAGGAGATCTGCTGCTCTGGTTTGTGAAAGATGCAGGAGAAAGGAGAAGAGACAAAGATACAGGCTTCCAAGTTAATTTCTGATCTCTGCAACAGCAGCCTTGCCCCTCCAGCCTCACTGTGCCTCTGAGCCAGGAGCATGGAAGAGATCACTAGGTTCTGCTCACAACCTCTTCAAATGCTTTGGAGATCAGCAAGAGCCACGTGAGCAGCTCCAGCCAGGAGCAGCACATCTCCATGTGCTGTTTCCATGTCACTCTTCCAATCAGAGCCAGCAGGGCCTCGGGGGGATCATCTGGCCCCTGTGCCAGCTTGCAGCCCCCCCTCACTGAATGCTCAGGGGATTCTATCCCCTGCAGCACCCATGAGATGTTACCAGCCTTTCCAATGCCAGCTGCCAGAATTTTGGAGCATTGTTGTTCACGGCCTGCCACCATCCTGTGATCAGCTTCTGGGGGTGGGTTCCATTCTTGCAGATGTCCAGAAGCACAGGAAATTCTTCCTGTAGATGTTCCCCCTGGCAGTCTGGACCAAAACCAGCATAAGAGTTCTCCAATAATTTCTTCTCCTGATGTGGTTCATGCTCGATTTGCAACAAATATTGCCTAAATTGGCAGCTAGCTTTTTATTATTATTTTATAACAGACTTCCCAGAAACGTGTTCCTCCTGGTCTTTTAAATCCTGAGGAACAAAGTATTTGATTGTAATCCCACTTCCTCCCTCCCTTTTTAATAAGGTTCAGATAGACCTTGGATAAAGCACTTTCTTCACTGAGGAAGAGCCCAGAATGGACTTGGATTGTTCTAGAAATTGTGTCTTTCTGGATTGTGTTCTTCCATAATTTTGTCCTTAATTTGAAGTGAATTCTACACATGTTGGTGTCAAAGGAAACCTGAACACAATACAATCAGTGCTGCTATGCTGACTCTGCAAACAGACCACCTGGAAGTTAAATGGGAGAAGTGGGACCTGCCTCAAATATTCTGCAAATTTTCTGCATAAACCTGGGAAATGACAGAGCCACACAGAGACAGAACTGATTCAGCAGCCCTTGTAAATTAAAAAGCCCCAGGCTCTTGACAGGGAGAATTTCTCAGGATCATTTTGCTCAGAGAGGCCTTAGGAGCTGGACCCCAGGGCAGTGACAGGTCTGAGCAGAGCACAGAGGGGATGCACACAAGCAAGGCTCCAGGCTGTGAGCTGGCTGGGGCACACAACAGTGGTGCCTGGTTTGTGGTGTCCAGTCAAACAGAGTGTTGGAATGACTGGCAGCCTCTGCTCTTGGACCTGCCTCCATCCTGGAGAGTCCTTGGCACAACTTAGGGCACTTGGAGGCTGCTCTATTCTTTTATTCCTGGGTGCCCCACAGAGCTGTGCTATCCAAAGAGCAGAAATGCTCTTTTCCCCAGTTAGGTCTTGGCTCACATTAGATGCAGTTGGGGTCTTCCCAGTCAAACAAAGCAAGCAAATCAGGTCTCATCACTGCAGAGCCTTCTCTGCCCATTGAAATGCTCTTCACATCTCTTTTGTGTGGTCAGTGGAATCAAAGTGATCTGCTCTGGGCCAGGATCTTGTGTGGGATCAGAAGACTTAAAGAGTATTAGGGAGCAACACCCCCACATCATGTTGGACCATTTGTGCTTGCAAGAATCAGGCTGGATGATCTGCAAATGTGACAGATAAACAGACAGCCTGGGTTTGGGGTGACAGCTCTGCCTTACGTGGGACAGGCAGGCTGGAGACCTGGACCACCTCAGAAAAAAACTGAAAGTCAAGGAGAGAAAAAAACCCCAAAACAAAGCAAAAGGAGGAAAGATCAGATTGTTTTAAAACGAATTGATGAATCCAAGTCACCAATTTTCAAAATCACATGTTCATCTTCTCCAAGTGTATTGTTTCCTGCAGATTTTCCCAGGAAAGAGAAAGATCATTCTGAAGTTTTGGCCACACTGCCAGCTCCCCTGTGCTTTCCCAGAGCACCATCCAAAGGTGTGACTGTCACAGGGATGCTGTATGATCCTCCTGGCAGTGCTGTTTGCTCAGCTGCCCTGTGGCATCTGGAGCTGTTCCACCCCTCCCAGTGGCATTTGGTCAGCACCAGCTGCTCATTGCACAGCCACAAGGACGTCACTGTGCCATGGATGTACAAGCACCCTGTGGGGAGGTGTTGCAATGTCCTTGGAAATGAAGAGCTAGGGGTGAAAATCTCCACATCCTGTTCCAAATCCCCCGAACCAGCCAGGACTCGTTCCTTGTGTTTTGCATGCTGTTTATCTTGGGTGACGAGATCAGGTACCTTTTCAGGTTCAAGTGGCCCATCTGTGCCTCCAGCTCAATGCACTGTGACTGCATCAGAGCCTTGAGGCCCATCAGAGTGTGGGAGCTGATCCTGCAGCAGCAGAGGCTCAGTGAGGGCAGCGACGCAGATCCCGCGGCCGCTGCCATCACTGAGCCCAGCAGTGGATGTCCCTGAGCTTTGGACTCCACTCTGCAGCAAACATGCCTTGATTAGCTGCTCTGGAGAAGGCCTTTGTGTTTATTCTGGTTGCTTTCTCTTCTTCCCATCAGTGATTTGGTGGAGTCCAGCCTTTTGCGGCTCTCCAGAGCCTGATCATCTGGGACTGGTCAGGGGACAATGACAGAACTGTCTTCTTTTTCAGCCCTTCCCACAAAAAAGCAATGTGCTTGAAACGTTTATTTTTTTCCATTTGCTTACTTCAGTGCATTGTGTCCTTCTGCTATGGCTTGTCTTTATCGTGTCATTTTTAAGCACCTGCTCATTCACATTTTTCTGTAGCATGGATTGCTTTATGAGAGCTACTGAATTTGACATATTTTAATTAAGATCTGGGGGTGCAAAGGAAATGTGCCTACCCTTGCAAGATTTAGAGCAACATCTGGACAGAAAAAGTTTTTCTTCAAGCAGGAAGACAAAAGTAGCAAATAATAATTAACAATAATTATTGCCCTGCACTGGTACAGGGCAAAATGTCAAAGTTCCTCAATTTTCAGCAATAAGTGCCCAGCAAACATCATAAAAATGAGTCATCCAAACTATTTTGGTTTGTAATTTTTGAGATGCTTTATTTGACTGATCATCTTACTGCATTTTTGTTGCCATGTAAATATCCCACTGCAATTCATCCTGAACCCAAGAGCAGAATTTTGCAGATGTTTTCAAAATGGGGTTATTAAAAAAAGAAAAGGTCTTAAGGTCAAAATTAAAAGAATGGGATATTTTCCAGCAATAATACAAAACAGAATCTAGACAGAAAAATCTCTGACCAGTTTTATCAATGGCATTTGCAAATAATTTTCAGAGGTAGCAATTAGACACAGAGAGATGGAGTTAAGCAAGGGCAGTTTTGGGAGTCTCCACCCAGGCTAGAGAGGGGACAAGGTGCTGTCTGCAAGAGGTTCGTGCAGCCTTGTCCTTCCCCAGGACCATTCCTACAGACACATCCTTGTCCACTTCCCTTGGGAGAGACCCATTGCGCCTCTGTGAGTGCACCATAAACTCCAAAGGTGATATTTGCAGGGAAGTCCACCACCTGTGAATTCCCTGCAAGAGTTTGGTTTTGCTGGGCCAGCCAACCAGAACCTCTTGAGTAAAACGTGCAGGAAGAAGGATGCCATGATCAAAGACCAGCTCATGGCTCTCAGCTGTAGTGAGCCTTAACTTGCAGGTGTAGCCTTCAATTCAGAAGAGCTGCCCTCACTACGGGCAGCAGATTTTAATGCAGAAGGGATGATGTCTACTGCTCTTCCTGTCCAGACTGGGAGAACCATGTGCCAAGCAAAATTTCTTTCCTTGAAGTCACATCTGGGGCCACAGTAATAAATAAAAAATCATCTTCAGCAGCCTAGAAGTTAGAGACAGATTAAAAAAAAAAAGGAACCAAAAGCACTGAATGCTCTCAAAGGTCTTCTGGTCACTGCTTCTCCCTTCAGCCTTGCTAATGAGGAGCCAGAACCCAGGTATGCAGGGGTGGCACATTGTGTCTTGACAGCTTGTACACAAGCTTGAGAGGTGACAGAAGGTACTCTTGTTCAGGGGGGCATTTTTCCTGTCACTTCTCCCAGTGCTGAATCACTGAGTAACTAAAGATGAAAATCCTGAGCTGTCCTAGACACAGAGAAGAGCTCTTCTCCCCACCCACGCTTGGCTGACTGCAGAGATCTGAAGATGGGCTATATGGTAGCTGTCATGGCATCAAAGCTTCTTTGACACCTTTTTGTTTTGCTTGTTCACTTCTTACCAGTTCCTTTCTCTGGGCTTTTATTTCCTTCCACCAGTTTTCCCATAGTTTGTAGTCTTTCCTTAATGGCATGCAGTCTCAGTCACACTGGAGTTCCAGCCTTGGCTGACCTCTTGCAGGTGTGTACCTGAGGTAATTTTAGCTCCTTTCTGACAAAACACCCCTTTTTGGGGTGGGTGGGACAATTGCTTCATTCAGCAGCATCCTTGAGGCCCTTTGGTGTGCTCACAACATCCAGGAAATCTCAGATCCCAGACAGATGGGCAGCACGTTGCAACCTAAACTGGATTCCCTTGAAGACTCTGTGAATAAGTTCCTGACTCCATCAGAGGTGATGAATAAACTTCAGAAAGGATTGGGAAGACACCTTCTCTTTTGGATTCCTTGCTCAAAGCCCAATGCAATCTCTGAAGAGTTTCTCCAGTCTTGGGGCTGTTTTTGTGAGCACCCAGTGCCTCAGGTTTGTGCTTTTTGGTTCACAACAGGGCATTTTCTTCACTTCCCAGCACCAGCTTCCTCTGCTTCATTGCAGGGAAGGTCAACAAGCCCCACGTCTGATGGTCACCCCTTGGGCTGAGCTTTTCTTGGGAGCTGGCTTGGTATGGCTGGTACCTCTCCCTTTCCTGTGCCCTAAGATGAACGTCCAAGAATGAGAAAAAAGTGCCGAATTTTCAAAGATATTTGCCTGGCTAGGATGTACAATTTTCAGTTTCAGAAGTGACTTGGATACTGAGAAACTGAAGGGTGTGACTGGAGAGCTCAGTGCAGCCTCATGCAGAGCCATGCCCTAAAGTTCTCCATGAGCAGTTTGGGGTGCACAAATAGCCCAGCACACTCCCACTTAGAGGTGTGAGCACAGGTCCCAAAAACCCAGATGCTGACCCACATTTGGTCTTGGCAGTGAGGGTGCAGCAGGTTTTTTTGCACAGCTGAGGCTTACCCAAACTGCAGTGAAATCCAGCAAGAAATCAAGTGCCAAAGCCAGGTCAGTGGACATCCATGATGAAGTACAACTACTAAAAATCACAGGTTTTGCATGGAGCCTGGACATGGACATGGACATGGACCTGGACCATCCCCCACCAGGTGCACAGGTTGGGAGCAGTTGCCTGACACTGTGCTGTGGCTGCTCCAACCTCCTGCTGTCCTTTGAAGTGGCCTGGCCAGGAGCTGAGCCGCTGACATCAGATTTGGCTTCTGATTCATCTGTTTTTTATGAGGTGTCTTTCAGTCCCTTCCTTGCTGATGACCTGCAGATCACTGTGGGACAGTGAGATCTTGTGGGTGGCATCTGAGAGTGAGGAAGGTCTGACGTGTGCCAGGTGCAGAGCCTGCAGCTCTGCTCACAAAAAGTTGAAAAACAGATGTTAAAATGCTATAAAGATAAAGCCCTCTTAAGCTCAGAGGAAAAGAGAGGTGTGCTGAGAAGGGAGGGAGTTGTGGGACAGGGAGGTGAGAGCTGGGACTTCAATAACATTAGGGATACTGTGCAGGACTGTCCAAGGACTATCCAGAAGATGTGAAGTGATGGAGAGTGACAAGTGCCTGAGGGAGAAGTGTTTGACCACGCCAGGCTGGGCTCCCATCGCTTCCCAGGCTCACCTGCAGCTGCAGAGGGTGACAATGCAGAGGTGCAGGTGCTGCTCACCCTGGGAGGTTCTGCAGCTCCTGCTGCCCCCCTGCCCATGGCCCTGTGCTCCCCAGACCTGGCTCAGCTGGGGAGTGCTCTGGGGAGCTACTCATGGGCTGGTGCCAGTGCCTGGTGGCCCTTGACTGCAGGACACCTCGCCTGCCGCCTGAGCATCCTGTGAATGTGTAGCTAGTGCCCATGGGCTGGCACAGCTGGGCCCATCAGGTGACCCAGGCCAGGCCAGAGCCTGAGAAACCTCTCACAGCATGTGAGACCCCTTCAGCTCAGCTTTCTTCTCTGTCCCTTCCTCTCTGTTAACACAGAGACTCTGCACGTGCTTCCTCTCTAACCACCCCGAGAACACCCCGTGGGTATTCTGGGGTCACCGCGGGGAGATGCTTTCCACACCCAATGCTCGCTGTCGCCTCAGCACCTGCTCACTACTTTTGGTGCCTCTTGCCATTCTACAGAGCAGCTCTATGGAGTCTCTGAAAGTAGCATCCAGCCCATCTCAGTCTTCCTGCCAGCTGGTGCTTGCAGCAGGTGAGAAGGAAGGAGGCAGGCAGAGCAGGGCAGAACAGGAGGGGTTTGGCTGCCTGCTTGAAGACCCAGGCCTAAACAAGAGCTGGAACACTGATGTTGCAGGTGCCTGGTTAAAGCAAAGAGTAAATACGCATGTAAAGCCTTTATTTTTTCCATTCATCACAATGCACTTTTTATTTCTGACCTTAGCCTCAAGAACTGTGCCAGACATGTTCTGTGATTTCTCCCCTTTTCCCCTCCAGATGTCCAAATGGATTCTTCGGACAGAGATGTTTGGAGAAACTGCCTTTGCGATTGTACATGCCAGATCCTAAGCAAAGTATGTTTGAAGACAAAACATGCACCACACTACTTAAAACCTCCCGGGCACAGCGGTGGATGTAGAGTGCTCTAGTCAGGGATGGCTCTTGGTGTCAGCTTTGGGTAGGGCTTAGGGCTGCAGGTAAGGGTGAAGGCTGAAAGCAGACAGACAGGAGCTGTGGAAGGGATCAGAAGGGGCCTCAGTTCAGCCTGTTTGGGTGTCATTTTGCTATCTTGTTTCTCTCTTTCTGGTTTTCTCTCTTCCGGTAGGTGTCCGATCGAATTCACAGGAGACCGGTGTCAGCATTTCGCAATGGTCAGCTTCTCCAGTATGTCTCTTTCTACTTCTCTCTCTCCTTGTTGTTGTAGCTCTGTGTCATGTCCTTAAAGCAGGTTCTTCTGTTCTCCAAGAGCCCTCTTCCTGTCTTGTGCACTGCCAGCTCAGCTTGGTCCTAAGAGGAGCTGTGACCGTGTCCAAGAGGAGAACTGGGGCTCGCTATCTCCCCATTTGTTAGAATGGGCTCTGCTTTCATTTCTGATTGAGCTGAATGCTGCTTGCTCTTTTCAGGCAAAATGCAGATGAGTTCATGTGGTGGGTGTGCTGTGTGAGATGAGCCTGTTCTGTGTGTGGAGCTGGCCCTGCCAGCATTGCTGTCCTGACATGGACTGTGCTGTGCAGGGCAGGATTTGGGTATTTTCCCTGTGCCATGCAAGGCAGGAGATGGGCATTTCCCCTGTGCTGTGCAGGGCAGGATTTGGGCATTTCCCCTGTGCTGTGCAGGGCAGGATTTGGGCATCTTCCCACCACTCCTGAGAGGGATGTGTGAGTCTCCTTGAACCGAAGGAGGAAATCACAGCCAGGGTGTGACTGTAATGAAGTCACTTTACAGTCTGTGGCATAGAGGTCATGCTGGTGGCTGCCACTGCCTCTGGGCTTCCCAGCCCCACTGCCATGCAGGATACAGGATAAACCTGCCAAGTGGGCATCAGGCTATGTCCCTCCTGGACACAGAGGTGTTCCTGTCTCTCTGAGGTGGTCAGACAGCCTTGCATATGGGATTGAGCCTAAGTACAGATCCTTCAGTGCTTTCAGTGGGTGTAAATACCCTAAAGCCTTAGCACTTAGTGCTTCCCAGTTTCGCATTTCCAGTTCCTACAGGTCTCACTTATAGACATAACCAGCTCATGGTGGTCAAGGTGCATGATTTTTCTGGGTCCCTATTCAGTCAGTGTCCCAGCATCAGCCAGATCCTCGTCTGGGTGAGGACCAGAAAGGAGATGCAGTTACAGTGCAGGAAGCCTGTGACCCTCCCTGTGACCCTTCTGTGATTGTCCCTGAAACCCATCCTGCCTCCACGCTGGCTGACTGGACCCACCACAAATGGTGGGTTTAAAGAGAGGCTTTTTAAAAAGAGCCAAAAAGAGGCTTTAATTAGTGGTAACCAGAGGAGAAATGCCTCTTCAGGATGGCTCCTTGATTGCCAGAATGCCTCTCCCACTGCTCCGTGAGGAATCCTGCCGTCCTCATCCCGGACTGGAATTGCAGGAGCCTCATTAGCACGTGCTAATAGCTGGCAAGTGCTGGAATTAGACTCCCTTGCATGGAGCATACAGACAAGATGCAAATGGACTTTGTGGGGCCCTTGGGACAGCTCAGTGTTTTTACATTGCCTTTTGTTCCAAATTGGCTTCCAAAGCTGAAACCTCCATTGATTTATCCTCCCAGACTCCAACATCCAAGAAAGCTCTTTTTAAAATGACAGCCCAAAATGTTCTATTTTGATCTTTCACCTGGTGCTAAAGGGTTTCCTTCCCTCTTGGAAGCCCTGGGTGTCAGGGCCCTGGCTGCAGCCAGCAGTGGGATGCTCACCCCATGGAGCTGATTTGTAGCATGTTTCATTAGGTGGTGTCCAACGGGCTTAAACATTATTGCTGCCATGCTGCAAAACCAAAACAGGGGTGAAAATGAGTTTTATGTCAGGAAAATGCCTTTTGAGAGCATTAATGGCAGGAGTAAACAGTATGTGGTTTTTTTCCCCAGCTTGCAGAATCCAGCTTTTTATGGGACTGAGATTTGTTTTAATTTTATTCACATGTTAGAGAAACAATGTCAGCTTTAAAACTGACACATGTACATTTCCTTACCTCAAGTTTGCTTTAACCACAGCATAGTAAGGTAAAAACAGCTTAACCATCCAGGCTACCTGTCTGAACTTGGATAAAATTCATATAAGAAGATGATTCATACATGTTTATAGCTGTTTTCACTTTCAGGTCACAGTTGGGTAATACAGATAGCAGTAGCACTGAAGGAAAGCTTGCACTGAACTTTCTGTTTTTCTGAGTAGGAAAAGCATTTCACTTCCAAAGTGTGGACCCTGCGAATGCTTACCTTCTACTTTGATCAATAATTAGGGCGCAGCAGAAGTTGCTGATTTTCCATAATTCATTCAATGCTTCATCCCATATGGGTTCTGACAGGTCAAAAGCTGAAACAGATTAAATGAGGTTCAGGCATTTCCACTGGAAATAAAATAACTCTGTCCTGATTCATGTTTTGAGAACACTGCCAGCATTTGACAGATACTTAAATAAGGACACCTATATTGGTGTTGTTTTAAATGTATTTGGGGTATTTCAGGTTTTCAGGCCTAGATTGGATCCTCCTGATTCTTTAATATGAATATTAAATATGACAATGACTTTTATTAGGTATCTCCCAGGGCTGAGTGAGAGTCTCTGCACAGTGAGCTAAATTGAAGGTGCTGTTCTGAAAAGATATGGCAGATACTTTGCTGAATTTGGGCCACAGATGGAGATGGTGCAGCATCCCAGCATCCTGCCAGATGTTGTGTGTCCTCCTTTTGGGAGCAGCTCCCGACCTCTCTGGTTTAAACCCTTATTCACATTTTGCTCAGGTAAAACTCCCCACATTCTCCAGGAGCTCAGGCTGTCTTTGTCTCTTTGGCAGGTAACTCTGGAGGTTTGTTTTTCTCTGATTGCCCAAAACACCTGCTAGACCACATTAAGATGAAAATTAGGTGTATTTAGATAGCTTTTCTCACGTGTGATATTTATGTTGCTGTTCCAACCACATGAGCAGGTGCCTACTGCCAGCCCTTCTGATATATACACCACTGCTTGAAAATGAAGAGAAAATTTTAAGATTGGTTGGGTTTTGGTTTTTTTTTTTTCCATGTCAGGCTCACACTGTTGCTATTTTCTACCAGATTGGTGCACAGAATCTCACTAGGAATTGTATTAGTGGGGTAGCTCAGAGAACCCCAGTCTGTCATGACTCTGTCCACACATAAGGCTGAGGGATCAAGGTTAGGATATAATTTTGTTTAGGCTTTAAGTAACCTGTAAGAAGAAAACCTTATAGGGGGACATTAAAGCGACACTTAAATCAGTTGAAATTTAAACTGCAGAGAATTAATGGCAGTGAGCAGAGGGGACAGTGATTGTGTGCAGTTGCTGTATGAAACTGAGGAATGCCCTGGCAGATGAGAACAGAGGGAGTTATTTCCATGGCTGATGAGTCATTAAATCCTCTTGCTAAAACGTTTTTCACATCAAGGTCCCCATGGCTCCATATCTCCGAAGACCAACTCGTGGGAGCAGCTGCCAGGTGGCTCCTCTGGCACAGGTACCTGCAGAGCCACAGACCACAGGGTCCTGTCCCTGCTTTGGTGAGAATGGAACACCTCAGGCTCTTGCTCCACAGCCAGAATGAATCCACAGCAGTGGCATCCATGGGCCATTTAGCCTCTGCAGCCACATTTTCCTCTCTGCTGGTGCACCTGGGTGGAGAGTACAGCCACATCCAGAAGGGTCAGGAATTCTCTCTGGGAGCTTCTCCTGGCTGCTGGAGGCTCCCCCAGTGTAGAGCTGCCTCCTGGCTCCAGCTCCACGGGCACAGCTCGGGCTTGCAGCTTTCCCAGAAGACAGAACCTTGTCCGAAGTCATCCTTCCTTCTCAGAAACCCTTTTTTCCAAAGTTGTGCTGACACCTGTGTTTCATAGCTGCCTGTTCTACAGCAGATCAAGATCTATCTCTATCTTTCTCTTCTACAAGCAACTTTTCAGGTCTTTGTTAGATCCTTCTGGAGGTTTAGCAATAACTTGCCAGGCTTTGGGTTGGCTGGTGGTAAAGGTTTTGTAAAACATGATGGCAGCTATTTCAGTCCTGGTGCAGCTGAGATTCTGAAAGTTAAATGTGGTCAGCAGGAACATTTATGTTTCCTAAGTCTGCACATTTGGATTCTTTCCACTTGTGATTTATGGAACAATTTAGAAACTTGGGATAAAGTTTTATATTTATGCTTCCCTCTTGCTTGTGGAAACTGAAACTTCATCTTTGCTGTTTATTCATCTCCACAAATAATCATCACCAATCTGGAGGACAAATGTCATACCATTTATCTTGGTTAGTGAAACATTTTCATTTCCTACTTTGTGATCCAATTAAAATCGCAGGCTGTTGCCTGCCTGTAAACACCCTCAAACAGAGCTGACATTCACATGCAATGTCATCCAGCATATTCTCCATCTTGACCCCATATTTAATTCTTGGTTTCTTTACAAATTGAATTCTAATTCTCAGTTGGAGCCCTCCTACTGGTCTGCTTGGAAACACAGAGCAGGATTTTCAGGTATCCCTTGGAAGAGCAGCTTTTTCTTCAGCCTGTCCCACCTGAGCTGTCTCCAGTGCTGCTGGCCCAGCCATCGTGGGGCAGAGTGGCTTCACTGGGTGACAGGCTTCTTGTTTTTCTGGAGGATGGTCCCTCTCCCCCAGCACTCACCAGGCTGTGCCGGGGGCACCACCCTGGCAGGTAGGAGTGACCCTTGTGGCTGGCCTCTGGAAGCTGGCTCCTCGTGCTCAGGTGAGGTGTCCTCGTGAGCAGAGGGACAAATGTACCACTTCAAGCTCTTCTGGGAAGGTCTGGGTCTGAATTTTAGCTTCTCTGTTCACCTCAGTTATTCAGTAGTGACTTCCCACCTGCTGGGACTGCAATATAAACATGATAAGTGAAAGATTACTTCTTTATTTGACCTAAATTTCTGCTTCCTCCTCCACCTCTCACTCATCTGACCCCCAAACCAATATTTAGCAGCATTTTAAATTCTACAGACATTCTGCAGCTTCCATTCAGTGACAGGATAACTGCTGACCCCTGAATTACAAGGTGATGGCTGTGCTTTGGTATGGCTGGGAAATTACAGGGTGTTTGTGGCTTAGCATGGCAGGGTGATTCCTCTCCCCAGGACACAGCACAGGTTACCCTTGGGATCTCCTGAAATTAATTGCATGCTCATCCACAGCAGATTTTGAGCGCTCTGTTGCTATGTGTTTGGACTCTTGATGCTGACCAAATTTGTTTTATTGCTGCAGTACTGGAGAAGGTGAATGGCTGTGGAGCTTGTGGAACATTTACAGACTTCCTGTTCCTGGAGATCCCACGTGTCACCCAGCTCTTAACACAGGCACAGTGTCCTCTGTCCCCATCGTGCCCCCTGTCTTGCATTGCCCTGGGGAAAACCTGAATCTGAGACCTGCAAGTGCTGCTCTCGTCGGCACAATTGATTAGCAACAAAATTATCATCAATTTATTATCTTGCTAGTCCTCAGATGTCAGCTCTCCACTTTGTTTCCTGCCTTGGAGCATGCTGTGTCCCAGAGAGCATATTTTGAGGGAATAATGTGCAGTAACTAAACGTCTTGTCAATGTTCTTGGGCAATCTGAAGACCAAGTGAGCACAACCACAGTTTTCATAGCTGCTTGCTAAGGCTTTTATCCTTTTTAATCATCCTATAAATCTACAATTCAGTGAGAATCATCTTGCTTGAGGTGTTACTCCTACAGGAATACCTTACATTAAATGTTTTTGTCTGTTCCTCTTTTCAAATAACTACAATACATCATAGTCACAAAGTCACTGCAGGTGAAGCAAATGCAGGACTTTGTCTTTTGTCTGATGCTGAGAAAAAACATTTTCAGAAAGATTCAGGAGGCACATTTGGAATGAGATTTTCCAAAAAAACCCCTCATGTCCCCAGTTCAGGGAGCCTGGGGGGTGCCACAGCAGCTCAGGGTGCTCAGCTTGCCCTGACCAGGGAGGATGTGTGCAGTGCAGAGAGGATGATGATGATGATGGTTATGAGAAAAATGCTTTCCCCATTTCCTCAGCCTACAGCTGCCATCTCAGGGCTGTCTCACCCCAATGAATTTGAGTTGGATAAATTGCTTCCAATGGAACTTGTTCTCTTAAAGCTGGAGAGGACAACAAGAAATATGGAGAGATTTAGATGGCTTGGAGTGACAGAACAAGGGGGAATGGCTTCAAACTGACAGAGAGCAGGTTTAGATTGGACATTAACAACTAGTTCATCCCTGTGATGGTAATGAGACACTGGCACAGGTTTCCCAGCCAGCTGGCTGTCTCTGCTCCCTGAGCCTGGGGAGCCAAAAGAAACAGCAGCTCTGACGTGAGAGGGGCAGAGAGAAGGCCCAAGCTCCTCTTGCCCACAACCTCTGTTCTCACAGGCATTTCTGAGTTTGCAAAAATCATGAAAATGTTTTGAATTGCATCCATTTGTAGCTGCAGATGTTGCAGAAAATCCTGCAACAGGGAGGAATGTGTGTGTGCAGATGGAGCAACAGCTAAGATTTATGGATGAAACTTGAGGTATCTCTACATGCCAGTGTCAGGGGAAACAGCTGTGTGCAATGGTAAGAAGACTTAGGAATAGGTCAGGGCTGGATGTGATAACCAGGTGGTTTAGGATGAATATATTCTGTCCAGGTCTTTGCTGCCCACCACATTATGTCCATGTCACTGCCACAAAATGTACAAAAGTACAAAATGACTGTGAAATGCTCTGTGGAGTATGCTGTTCCTTTTACACAAATGTGAGATGTGAAGCAGAGAGCAGCCAGGTTTTGTGGCCTTTAAATTATACAAAATCTTAAAGAACCCCAACCTCCCCCTACAAAAGCCCCCCCAAACATCAGCATTGGTTTGAAGAGAAGAACCTGCTTTAGAACACGTGTTTACATGTTCTGTAACAATTAGTGCTAATCTCCCCTCCCCCCACGCCTAAATTTTGAACAGCACTGCAAAAGAAAGCCAATATTTCTGTGCAGCAAAAAGCAGTTCCTATGGAAAATATAGTAAATAAATCTGGACATCTCCAAGCTGCAAACAATCTTGTGTGTATGGTGATTGGGAGCAGCAGAGCTCACTTTGGTGTATGGTGGTAAGTATGGAGAACTTTCATGTTTATGTAAGAAAAGCTGGCTTTAGGTGATGTCTGTACCAGGAAAATGACTAAAAGTCAGGATACCTGTTTTGCACTCTCGATTCATTGGCTAGCTCCTGTGCTTAGCACTGTCTCTGCAAGATGAGCTGCAATCTTACTTGTGCTGAATATGAATCTGAAAGCACATGCCCCGATTTGGGCTTTTTGCAGCACACTAAAACCACGCAGAGCCAGGGCAGGAGTGCAGTCTGGCTTGAGGGGAGCTTTCTGTGCCATTTGCACTTTGGGATCCATTGCCTCGCCCGGGCACCTCGTCCCTCGCAGCATCCGTGGCTCAGGCTGCCCAGGGCAGGGCTGGCAGGGCAGGGGCAGCTTGTGCTGCCAGGGCTGCTGTGCCCGGGCTGGGGCTGGGGCTGTGGGCAGCAGCACGGTGCTGGCCAGCCCCCGGCCCAGCAGGAGCCCTCCCAGCCCTGTGCCCAGCTCCCCTCCGGAGCACAGCCCCGGGCACACCGGGGCGTGGAGACCAGCCAGGGCAGATTTGCCCTGTGGAAAGGGGATGAATGGTTTTTACCAGGCTCATGCAGTCTCTATGTGTTTTGACCTGTCAGGAGTTGTTTCAGAACAAGTGTACCTTTCCTATTTTTTTTTCTTTCTTTTTTTTTTTTTTTTTTTTCCCCTGCCTAAACAGTGAATTCCATATCAGGTACTAACAAACATGGCTCATCTCAAAAGAATTCATAATTAACTGAAAGAATTCATAATTAACTTCCACTGCAATTTGTTTGGGTCTTTCTTTGCATAACATGTGAGTTGTGGTGGGGGTTTGAAATGCTCTGAAGCATACAGTGTCTCTGTGTGAGTGCTGCTGAGCCTACCAAAAGCTAACCTGCTGTAACTGCACAGTGTGTGTGTTTGTATTTTAGAGTTCTCTGACAGACCTGTTTTTCTTTTTCTCTTTCTCTTCCTTGTCTTCTTTCTGCATTGGCAGAGCATCTTGGATTTGAATTAAAGGGTATGGAACAACCATTCATTTATTAATCAGAAGCCATTAAGAGCTTCCAACATTATATTTATGGCTTTAATGGGATGATTAAAAAATCAGCTGTTCTGTTCTCTTCCCTGGCACCAAGATAGATGTTTGGATTGAAAAAAAAAAAACAAAAAAACCGAACAAAACAACAACCAAAACCAAAACAAAGCAAATCACAAATTCTAAATGCAAACCTATAAAAATGCAGGTGTATTTTTAGCAGCACTTTTTTCTTTGTTCCAAGCAGCAGCGTGGCGTGTGTGGCATGACTGGGATGTTACAATTGCCATACATCTCCATTCAACATGCTTTTGTGTATTTAACTGAAAACCTGGGGTCTTGTGTCCATCCAAAAGGTTGCCAACAGGCACTGCTTGGGGACAGGCAGGCATTCCAGGGATGGGAAGAGAAGTTCTAGAAATATCAGGGCTGTTACAGAAATTGCCATGCCAGGCACACTAACCTCCACCAGATCCTGCAAAGGGTCAGGATGAGCTTTGCCATTCCTCCTCCCAGAATTTGGCAGCTTGTTTTGGTTCTTGAGCAGGATGAAACTGAGCCAGGAAAGATGGCATGAGACCAGTTAGTCTAGAAAAGTATCCCAGGGAAGTCAGTAGTTGCCCATGAGAGTGGAAGGTGTAATGCTGAGCACCCCAGTGGCAAGCTTGGGAAAACACTGCAGTAAGTTAAATGCTTTTAAAAATATCCCCTTTGGGCATTTACCTGCTCCTGCCCAGTTACTCATAATCATATTATTTTCTTTCCATTCTCCTCAGTCTGGTTTTAGATATATATCAAGTTATCCCTTGAATAAGCAGTTGGAAAATCACATCCTTGAGGCAGCTTTTCCCTGGAGCGTGCAAGCCAAGAGCAGGGAGGGCTGGTCAGCAGGGAGCAGAAGGGTTGGGCAGCCTGGGATGGTGGAAGGTGCCCCTGCCTATGGCAGGGGGGCTGGAACAAGATGAGCTTTAAGGTCCCTTCCAACCCAAACCATTCAAGGATTCTGTGATGATTCTATGATTGATTACTTAACCTAAAAGCATCGGCCTGGCAGTGTCAGCCAGAGCAGATCTTCACATGAAGATGCTTCAATTCCCTTTGCTAGAGGTATGAGGACACCAATCTTCCAGTTGTGGATCCTAAATTGCCTTCTGAGGTCCCTGAGGTGGAGGGACATTGACTAACTGAGGCTGGAGAAATGTATCTCCTCTAGTTTTTGCATGCCTGATCCCTCAGGACTGGTAGGCGTTCCCCTGGGGCAGAAAATTGGGAATTTTATAGTCAGGGTGCTTCAGAGAAAGCGGTGCTGCTAATGCTAATACACTTGGACAAACCTTAAAATTGAGGATTTTTGACATCCCTTTTTTGTTGACCTTTTGTCCTGTTCCTCATCCATTCTCAATGTCATCACAGAAGCACACGCATCCTGTCTGCAGCCGTCTCTCCCCCGTCATTCGTCTGTCACTGTCATGCCTTGTTGTGACACCATGGTTGCCCTGTGGCTCTGTTGGCATTGTGTGGCACCACGTGGTTTGTTCTTAGTGTTTGCTGCTGTACAAGTGATGATGCTGCTGATGAAAATGTGTTTGTAGAGCACAGAGACACAAATGGACCTGCTCTGGGATCTTACCTGCTCAAATACAAAGCTGCAGCTTGCACTCTCTCGCTTCCTTTCTATTATTGTTGAGATGGTTTTGCCCCAAGTGATTAGGGGAAATGCTCCTTCAATTTGTCCTCTCCCAGGGTTTCTGATTAAAAATGGAGGATTTTCTTTCAATTTTGCCTGTGTGCTATTTGAAAAGTGCCTTAAAATTGGAGGATTAGGTTCTGCAAATGAGCCATTCAAAAAATTAATAACATACAAAGCTTTGCTCAGCCTCATCTGAGGTGTTGCTTGGGCCACTCCCCCCTTCTGTTGAAGAGGGAAAAATGTCTCAGTACCAGTGTCTCTGGTCACACAACGTGAAAATACTGTTATTGAGCACCAGCTTTAATGCGATGTTGGGAGCCAAGCTAGATTACTATCAGCAGATCATTCAATTTTTAGTTTGCAGCAGTGATGCACAGCCTCACACTTCACTGCTTTGTGTAGCAGAGCTGTCAGCTCAAGACAGAGAGGCCAAATCTGCATTTCTGATTAACTGAAACATTCCCCTGCAATTCAGGTGAAGGTTCAGGACGCACCAGAGTCAGGGTCCCATACTGACATCACCACCAGAACAAAGGCTGGGATTTGAGCCTTGGCCAAAGAGTTTTGTCCTTTTATAGGTAAAAAAAAAACCCCAGCCAAATAAAAAAACAAAAACCCCCCAAACAAACAAACAAACAAAAAAGCAAACACCCCACCCCATAGTTTTAATGTCTTTGCTCTTTCTTCCTGCTCCATGATTCAAAGGGAATTATTTCTGCTTAGGGAAAAAAAGTCTTTGTAGCAAATAGCATTGCTATTGAAGGATTTTTGCTGAAATCTGACCTCCCTCCCAGCCTTTTTTTTTTTTTTTTTTTTTTGGTTAAAGTAGTTTCTGCTGAGAAGTAGCAAAATTCTTGCCCAGTGCTATCCATAACCAGGATGTGATCCCAGCTGGTTTTCCTAATTTGTATAAAATCTCTGAAACTCCTGTCTGAAGGAGAGAGCTGTACAACTGTAATCTAGCTCCCAAAGATGTGTGAGAGCAAGAAATCATGTCTGCCATGGTTGCTGATGCCTGGAATAAGGCGCCCATACCAACGAAACATGTCATTGAAGGAGGAGTTTCACCCCAGAGTGGGCTCTTCCCCCATTCCAGCTCCACCTGGTTCCTTGGAAGGGAAAAAAACCCACAAGAAGGCTTTGTTTATTATATTTTGCATCATCATTCCAGGGTTGTCTTTCTTGCCAGTCCTTGTTTACTAAACCTTTCTGCATTCCCATTTTGAGAGTTAGAAAGAGGTAGCCATTTTTCCTAGCACCATTTTTTTTTTCTCCAAAACTGCTTTTTTCAACCTAGAATGGCAAGCTGAAATTGTTTTAAATATCCAGTTGTCTGGAATGTTTCATTGCTTCCCACTCACTTTTTTTTTTTTTTTTTTTTAATTCAGTCTGCTCCCAGGGGTTTCTGGGACCAGACCTGTTTCTCTTCTGGTTTTGTATTTGAGTGTTTGGTGGCACAGGGAGTACCACATGGTCTGTTAAAGGTATTTTCAGTGGTGTGGGGAAGCACACTGAGCACATCAACCATGGCATGACTTTTATTGCCTAATCTAGATGGGGAAAAAAAAATCAATTAATATTAAAGAAGGCACAAACCCCAAAAGCTTTAACACAGTGTGGGGGCATGAGGACTTTGTTCATAGCTGCTGAGCTGAAACCCTCATGGCAGCTCTGTGCTGAATCCTTCTCTCAGTCATCCAGCTGGAGAACCCAGATTTCCTCTGCTGCTCTCAGCAGGGGTTGCTGGATGTCACATCTGCTCTGGTGTGGCCCAAGAGGAAAAGGTGTCCTTGCCACGGTGTTGCTGCCGAGGAGCAGTGCAAACAGGGTCCGAGCATTTCCTGGGATCTTTGGTGGATGGGAATGAATCACCTCCCTTCCAGCCTGCTCTGGGTTTTGGTGCAAGTGACTGGCTCTTCTGGTTTGACAGGCAGCCTGTGACACTTGGTGGTATTTGAGAGGCAGCAGCAAGCTGCTTACATTTTGTGTGTGCCTCTGAGCTTCCTGATGCAATGGTATGAATCGCCTCCTAGGGTTTCATTAAAAATCCATGATTGGTTCCTGTATTTTAATCACTCCACTCCCTTTTCTTTGCCTGACACGCTATCACTTTTCCATCCTCATGCTGCTTTTTGACTGTTCCAGGATGTCCCTTTCAGCACCTACATGCTTTGGGACCTGTTGCTTGTGGTGCTCTCACACCACCCGGCTCCAGGGCATGCAGCTGCTGGAGGCATCCTGAGCCGGGCAGAGCAGAGCCTGGGTCAGGGATCTCAGGGCGTGTGTGCTCCCGGGGAGTGGGGCGTGCTCCAGGGCTCCCGTGCTAGCTGATCAAGGCACCAGAAAGGGGAGATCTGCTGCAAGGGAGAGGAGAGTCGTGGGGCTTTGTGAGATTAGTCACTGTGGGAAAGGAAGGGAAGGTGAGGAGTGTGAGGGCAGGAGGGGTGAGCTACCGAGCGAGAGAGGGCAAAGGGGCAGGGAGACAAAAAGAGGCTTTTGAGGTGTGAGGAAGGTTGGGCAGCTGGGCTCAGGTTTGGGGCAGCCATTAGGCAGGCAGTGGACTGGTAGGAGGTCTGCCCGAGCCCTGTCCTCCGTGTCACCCCCATGAAGTGCTGGTTCCCGTGCAGCCAGAAGCAGCCCAGGTGCTGGAGCCCATCAGTAACTGGTTCCTTTCTCTCCATTTGCAGAAGCAGAGGAGCTCTACCAGAAGAGGGTTTTAACCATCACGGGAATCTGTGTTGCCTTGCTTGTGGTGGGCATCGTCTGTGTGGTAGCTTACTGTAAAACCAAGTGAGTATGGGGGGCTCACAGGCAAGAACTGGCTACAGGTTAGTGAGTGGCAGTGTTCATGTTCCACACTTCCATGCTTTTCACCCACATGCTAATTTTAGGTGATGATGTGCTGTGGTACTCCCAGGAAGGTCTCATGCAGGAGTCCAGGGAAGCTGTCTACCAGACTGTGTCTGAACAGGATGTTTTCCTGGCACCATTTGCTTGTCCCCTGGAACATCATTTTGCCCAGCCAGGTGATGCTGTGTTACAGGGAAAAGCTAGTCCCCCAAGCCAGCAGCTCAGCTTCTGCCAGCAGAAGCACACTGTGCTGTTGTGCAGGGGCTGTGGGCTTAGCCATGCACATTGCAGGGACTTCCAGAGCGATCCGAATGGAACAGGAGTCCTGGGAACCTTTTTTATGGTCTGCCTTCCCTGCCTGGACAGCACTTTTCTCCCCACTCAGCCTGCACCTCCGTTCACAGTGCCCCTGAAGCTCAGTGGGTCTTGTGGAGCAGATGTCTCACCTTGGGCATGGGCAGGCTTTGTCACTTTGTCCTTCAAGCAGGACGGGTCAAGTGCTTTGTCGCCAAGGGCAAGTCAGGACTCGCTTCCTTTTTTCCTTCTCCCCACTTTTCTTCTCCACTGCCAGCCAGCTCTGCTACATTGTGCTGGGCCTTGCCTTGGAAAGGGGACCCTGGACCCAGCTTCACAAATTATCCATGAGAAAAAAAGTTGACCTTTTGTTTGGAAAAGCAGTAGGAGGTGTTAAGTATTGAATGCCTTGTTTCATGTTGTTTGTAACTTTCTGCAAATACCATTGGAACATTCACGGGTTGAATACTTGCCTTCTCTTTCATCTCTGGGGGTACAGAGCCCCATGAGAGAAGTGTTCCTATAGATTTTTTTCTATTCTAAAGGAAACAAAGAAAACAAATGCATAACCACTTGCGGCAGAACATGTGTCCTGCTCATCAAAACCGGAGCCTTGCGAACGGGCCAAGCCATCCACGTTTGGATCCTGAGGAAATCCAAATGGCTGATGTAAGACCCTTTGCCTCCATCTCCCTGCATGCTCCTGAGGGGCTGTTTTCCACCAGGGGTTTGACGTAGATGTGTATCCTTACACACCTGTGAGCTTGTGTGTGAGGAGCAAAGCGCAAACAAACTTGAGAAAAAAGAAAGATTCTGCATAAAAACATGTCCAAAACCAACATCTGAAGGGGAATGTGATTTTGCTTTGAAGTACAGGATGAGATTCAGGAATTTGGGATAGGTTTGTTTTGATTAATCAAGCATGACCCTGATTTCCACTAGGAGAGATGTTCCCAATGTTTCCTGTTTATTACGCTATCCTGTCAAGTCCCACTTAGTGGGATGACAAATGGGATCAGCACGGCAGTGACCGGAGCCGCTGTGGTGAAACACATCATGGTGATGTGGTCAGCTGTCCACCAGCCCACCTGCCCATGCCAGGGGTTCTGTGCTGGTGGATGCCACTGTCACACCAGTGAGAACAATCTAAGTCTCTCTAGGGCAGGATCCAGAGGGCAGTTCAGTCACTCTTGTGACTTCAGTTGTATGGAATTCCCATCAAACCCCATGAGCTCAAGGGCCATCAATGCGCTGAAGTGCCTTGATTGACCAAGGCCTTGAAAGGGGTCAGAAAAAGGGAAGGGGGAGGCAAAGCTGAACAAGAAGTAGTTAGAAATTAATCCAATGAATCAGCTGCAAGCTCTGTTGGGTCAGCCTTACAGTATTAAAATTTAGCTAGATTGGATCCCAACCATGAAGGAAGAGGAAAGGAAATTCTAGGAACCACAGCCCCTGGCCCCATAGTACTGACTCTCTGAGAGCTCAGTGTCACTGTGAGAAGAAGGGCTGATTGTTAGATGAAGGAATATCTCAGCATAAATATTTGGATCACATCTGGAGTTTCTGTAGGACTCACATCTCTGACAGATTTCACGTTGTTCTCTTGTTGCTGGTACTCGGTCGGGTGTAACCAGCTGTGGGCAGAGATATATCTCTGCTCAGTAGCTACACATGGTACCACAGTCCTCTGGAGAATCCCTTGGCTCTCCAAACCCTTCTGCAATCTCTGTGCCACAGCCCTTTCGCAGTGTTCAAAGTGAAGTGGGAGAGAAAATCTTCCACCCTCCTTGTCCCTTCCTGTGGGGTGCAGAGCATATGGCTTCACTCAGTCCTCACCTGATTTCACCAGAAATAATCAGGCCAGCTAAATTTTTCTTTGGCAGCATTCACAGACTGGTGGCTGATCTGTGTGATTCTTCTTATTTTGCAGTATATTTCTAAGAATGTTTCTGCCACTGAGCACGTGATCCGAAGGGAAACAGAGACAACCTTTTCGGGAAGTCACTCCTGCTCCCCGTCCCATCACTGCTCCACAGCCACTCCAACATCCAGCCAGAGGTGACGTATACCATTTTCTCTGGGACTGTCCTGGCTATTTGCTGTAGGATGCCGTGAGATTCTAAGATTTTCCTTTCACTTCCCTTTCTGTTTTCACTTGATGTTTGGATCTGTAGTGGCATGCAAGCCATGTCTACACTGCAGGACTCTGCAAGCACAGCTGGTTAGTGAGAGGTATGGAAAAGTGTGTTCCTTGACTGCAGGGAGGTGCCAGCAGGATCCTGCAGCACTGACATAGCTGGAAAACAGGAGGAAATGAACCTATGCTTCCATGCTTTGCACAGACCCAAACGGGAGGATGTGTGTAGGAAAGGTTTTGCAGGTTGTATTTGCAGCCACACTGGACATCTGAAATATTTCATTAAGCACACACAGATTATGTGTTTAATATTTACAATGTATTTGCCTTGTGGAAGACAAAGTACACAAAATATCACCAAATGTTTTGATCACTTCCTCAGAGTCAAGGTCTGAATTGGAAGTCACAGGTTTTGACCAGAATCAAAATGCTCCTGTGAAATCTATCAGCCTCCACCTCAGGTGGTGGCTCCTCTTTCACTGGAAGTCATTCTGAAGATTTTTGGAAAACTTGATTTAGCAGGAAAGTACCAACAGTGCTTTGTGACAAAGGATGAGACAATTTTTTTGTTTTCATTTCAAAATAACCACTGGGGGAAGAACACCATGGCTTGGAACCCAAATCTTCTCAAGGTTTCTTAGAACATTTAAATTGCAGATGGACCTCCCTATTTTTATGATGTCCAAAAAAGTCTTTCTTTCAAATGCTCTAAAGAAACTCCTGTGCTGTTTTGAGTTTGGATGTTCCAGTTCCTCCTCTTAGCTCTTGTGCTTCTTCCAGTAGGTGACAGGGGTTTTCCTTGGAGATCACTTGCCTTTGATATGTGAACTGGCTCATGTCCTTCATCAGCTGATGGGGTTGTCTCCATTCATCTGGGAATGCAGGAATTCTTTCAGCTGAGCTCACAGATGGCTCCAGGCAGGTTTCCTTAGGGTCCAGGCATTCCTTAGGGTTGAGCAAGTACTCTCAGTTACAGCGGGCAAGATCAATTTCAGATGTTGAACTTGGATTTTCAGGTGAATTCCTCCCCAGATTCCTCTGGCTATACCTCCAGAGTGGGAGCCAGGAATGACTTGATTGGCTGGGAATGATTCTTTTTTTCCAGGGAAATCCACTCCTCATGAGCTAGTCAATGTATTCTCCAGGTTTTTTTGCATTCATACTTTTCAGCCCATCCCTGGCTAGGTGTGTGCAACCTGAGCCAGGTGCATAGAGGCTCCTGTGCCTGCAGAGCTGCAACTTGCTGGCCTTCCATGCTCACTTAAAAGGCCTGGGCCATCCCTGGGCACCTTCTGAAGACACAAAGGTGTGTCTGGAGGGCAGCATTAGCTCATGACAGCTGTAGGGAGGAACCTGCCTTGGGTAGCCTCTGGTCCTGGCTACCTGCCACCTCATTTTCCTGAGTCAAGTGCAGCAAGCAGGTGCTTCTTGAAGTCATGCCAGAGGCAAACTACTGGCATAATTAGGCTCCATTTTACTCCATCAGTGCCTCTAATGAGGATGCTGTTTGAAGTTATAAATGAGCATGTGCCTGGAGCCATCAATAATTAACAAGTTCTTGGGAAATCTTAATGAGGGCTGCTCTCCTCTGTAAACCCCCACCCAAAATCCTCCACCCACACAGCTCCATCTGGTGCAGTTTGGGCATTCAGAGGGGTTGCTCTCGTGGATCACGTATTTCCGCAATGATGGGGGTCAGCGTGGTGGTCGTGGCACTGGTGGGACCCCAGTGTGCAGGTGGCCCTGTGCATCCCACTGAGTCCTCGTGGGATGTTCTCTTTGCACAAAGACTGGGGCCGGTGGGGCTGCAGCTGCTCAGCACATCATGGTCTTTGTCTAGCACCTTGAAAGTGTTTTCCTGCCAAAATCTTTGGTAGACTTTGCTATGCTAATTTTGAGTGGCTTCTCCTGGCTCCTCTCTGGTAGCAATTCCAAAGGGGCTGTCATTTGGCAGTGCAGGTGGCACATTTGAAGGAACTTGGCTGACTTGCCTTGGCATAGCCAATGTGTTAATCCACACCCAGAACACTTTGCAAGCACAAAGAAGAATTGCCCTGGCCTCCCTCCAAAGGCTGTCCCATCCTGCTCCCAGGCATTTATTCTGTAGTGGGATAAATACCTGCTATTGCACTGATTTACTTCCTTTGTCCACCAATGGCATCTCCAAGAAGGAGCAAAGAATGGCAAATCAAAGGTAGGGCTGGGAATCTGTGCTTCCCTGGCCAGATGTGTCCTAATGAGAGAGACAGAGATGGGGGACAGCAGTGCAGAGGTGCAGAGCTGAGCGTGAGCAGGGCCTGTGTCTTTGGAGAAGAGCGGGGTGGGGGTTCCTTGCTCACTGTCCACATGGGCTTTTCTCCACAGACATGAAAGCCACACCTGGAGCTTGGAGCGAACAGAGAGCCTGACTTCAGATTCCCAGTCTGGGATAATGCTGTCCTCGGTGGGAACCAGTAAATGCAACAGCCCTGCGTGCGTGGAGGCACGGGCTCGCCGCGGGGCCACCTTCTGCATCGAGGACCAGCGGAGGCCCACGACGCAGTACCGCGACTCGGTGGATTCCCTGCGGGACTCGCCCCACAGCGAGAGGTCAGACCCCACTGCTTGGTGCCACCACAGCACACCAGAGGCAAGCCATGCCTCTGTGCCAAGCCCAAAAACTTTTGCCTTTGCCAGCCATAGAGCGGCAGTGCCATGGTAGAATTGGGAAACTCCAGCCCTGCTCCTACCAGAGGAAGCCCGATTCCCCAGGAGGCCGCTCTGGTTGGGCAGCAGCCAGCTCTGCACCCTGGTGGAAATGTAGGTTTGGAGCACAGGGATGATGGGTGTGGAATATGCCTGGCTGCAGTCAGAAACTGTAGAGAAAAACTGGCTGGGAGAACACCCTGGGCAGCTTGTTGGGCTGCCAAGCAGGCTCTGGCTCTCAGGTGCTTGTGGAAAAGGTGTCTGTCTTCAGTGCAGTCCTGGATGGCCAGGTGAGAGGGTGCTACACGTGGGCACAGCCTTGGGACAGGACTCGGTAGGACCCAGCCTTCAAGGAACACAACTACAGAGCTGAGACACCAGCAGCAGCAGCAGCAGTTGTCCTCTTCCCAGTCTGGTTCCTCATGGAGCAGAAGCACATCTCCACCTTTGTTCGAGCCCTTTGCAGGTAGCCATGAGTGACTCTTGGTGGCCACTTGGCTCCTCTTGGGCAATTACCCTCCAAGGCAGTGGAACTTATCCATGGGGCAGAGGAGAAAGGCAGCATCTCCTGCTCTCGTTTCTGTCCCTGGTCCATTCAGGCAGACTGACCCAGCTCGTATGGAGATCTCATACATCACAAAACACATGAGTAAAAAGGCCTGGTTGATTGAGAGAGCCTGGGCTGGTGGATTGGGCAGAGACAGCACTGGCAATATCAAAAAGAAATAAGATTTGCTCCCTAGAAAGAGGTGGTGCTGAAGAAAGGGCTAGAGAGAGGGGCTAGACCAGACCTGAGTGACCGCACTGATGTTTTCATTACAGTAGATGAAAGCGGTAGATGGCTTTTTGAGACAAGATTTTTGCTAAGTCAGAGAAAACAATGCCCAGGGTTTCCCCATCTGCGGCCTGAGCAGGGAGAGGGAATTCCAGGGACCTTCCTCAGAGACAAGCCTGGCACTCCAGAGGGAACAGAAAGCAGCTGTCAGGCAGATGAGAGGCAGTGAAGCCATGACTCAGCCTGCTGGGAGATGCTGCAGGGTTTGCAGCGATGCAGAGTGGGAATTGTGCACCAAGTCCCTCGGGAGAAGCATTTTGGGGGATGCTCAGCACATGCCGCCCATGGAAGCCAGCAGCTCACCCTCCCTTGACACAGCAGTGCAAGGTCTCTCCAGATGATTCCCCAGGAGAACCTCCACGGGCAGGTTCACTGGAGGCCTCGTGGGTCCCTGGGCCAGGTGTTCAGCAAAGCGCGGGCTCAGCTGGTGGTTTTTGGGTTGTTCTGTGTCCAAACAGAGTGTTGCTTTTTCAGGTACGTGTCGGCCCTGACCACACCAGCACGCCTGTCGCCCGTTGACTTCCATTACTCAATGACCACACAGGTGCCCACCTTTGAGATCACGTCCCCCAACTCGGCGCACGCCGTGTCCCTGCCGCCGGCGGCCCCCATCAGCTTCCGCGTGGAGGAGCAGCAGCCCCTCCTGCGGCGGTACCAGCTCCCCTTCCAGGACACGCAGAGGTACGACAGCTACTACCAAAGGAAGACCTACCTAAACGACAGCATGGGGAGCCTGCCCTCCAGCCCCTTCCGCATCACAGAGGACGACGAGTACGAGACGACGCAGGAGTACGTCACAGCGCTAGAGCAGCCAAAGAAAACAGCCAGCAGCAACAGGCGGTGGAAAAAATCCAAACTGAATGGGCACATCCCTCACAGAGCCAGAGCCGTCCGGGACTCCTTCTCCTTGAGCAGCGCCTCTTACAGCGAGTCTGACGAGGAGCTGGTGGCCGAGAGCACCCCGTTCCTAAGCACTCAGAACAATGAGGCGGCGCACACAGAGTCGCCGCCGCTGCACCGGCCGGGCGACAGCCGGACTCACTACTCGTGCCGCGGGCACAGCGCGCACGGCGACGGCGGCCGCGGCAGCCTGGCGCACGTGGCGCCCAAAGCGGACCCCGACCCCCTCTAGGCGCCTCCCGCGCTCCTGCATGGGCGACCCGCATGGAGGAGGCCGAGAGGAGGGAGGCCGAGGGCGAGACAAAACCACACAAACCGCAAAACGAGACAAAACAGAACAAAAAAATAAATATTTTTATTTTATATAAAAGAGGGAAAAACAAAAAATATAACAAATAAAAATGTTTTATTTTCATTTTAGCAAAGTTGTCTTATAATAGCTAACGACAATGACTTTTTTATAGGGAATCTCTATTTATATGTAATGTCTTGATTTACAGCTTCCGAGAAAAAAAAAGTAAAAAAGAAAAAAAAAAAAGAAGAAGAAAAGAAAAGAAAACAAACAATAAAGTTAAAAAAAAGGGGGCCAATTTTTGACTACTTAAAAATAGAAAACAAAACTATCGTGGTGCCTTTTGCTGTATGCTAGTGCTGGGATTCATGCCGAGGATTCTGTTTCAGTAGCATTTTTAAGGTCATAGATTTTTGTTTGGGAGACAACCTGTCACAAGGGCGCTCTTCTGTTGGAAGAAAACAGCCTTGCCACTTTCCCCCGTACCTTGCTATTAATGATCTTATTCTTTAAAGTATTGTTTAAACACACATTAAGGACATGAGTGGGAGCATTTCCATTATCATGTCTAACGAGGATCTGTCTTGCCCTGTAAACTACTTGTATTTTCGCTTAAATCAGGAGAAAAAGAAACCCAACAGCACTGTGCTGAAATGCAGAAATAACGTTTCTTTTGCCACACAGGTAGGAAGAGAAAACGAAATTGCGCAGCAGCAGCAGCCCTTACAATATAGCTCTCAACCTTTGGCCATCTCACCGGTGGGTCTGGAGTGGGGTTGGCACAGGTTTGTAGTGAAGCCAGACAGACACCCTGTGACCACGGTGGATCACACCTGTCACGTACCCTTGAATCCGGGTCGCTGAGCTAGCCCCGTTCGGCCGCGGTGCCCGTGGCCGCGTGGCTGCCCCAGCGCCGTGCTGGCCGCGGCGTCCCCTCGGCTGAGCGGTGCAGCCGTGGCGCTGGCCGTGGCCAGGGCTGTGGTGTCCTGTGTGACACCCTGGCCAGGGTGCCGGGGGACACCCACAGGGTGGTCCCGTGGCGCAGAAGGCCGCGTGTCACCCTGGACACGGAGCCAGGCCGTGTGCCCCAGGGGTCAGCAGCACCCCGAGCGCTCTGGGCTCCGCTGCTTGGCCGGGCAGGACCCTGGTGGGACGGCCCAGCGAGCGGATTCTCCCGTATGGCCATGCCACGTGTTGTAAAGACAGTTGTTGCCGTCACATCATGCCATCGATGACGGACGTCGCGTCCCCAAACCCGGAGCAGCTCTGGCCATCGGCTCTGTGGCGCAAAGAGACAGTCCTGCGTGTCCAGGCGGCAGAGCATCCCCCGTGGAAGTGCCCCCCTCTCCTCAGTTCTCTGCAGCAAACCTGTTTACATTGTAGCCTGACTTTTTTCTTTTTATATTTTTACTTCTGCATGTCCTTTGCATTTCAGATACTGTAGATTGGATGCATGGTGAAGCTGTGACTGAGAAGATAATACAACAATTGACAGTGTATTATTTCATTTAACTTTTAGCAATAAAGTAACTAAACCCTCTATTCCTCACCCATGATGGGGTCAGATAGAAAACTCTGCTAATTTGTCATAAGATGATTGTCAAAGTTTGCTCTGGATTGTCTGAATGTCAGAACTCTTGACTGTTTAACACTTGAACATTTTTTATATTATAAATAAAATAAGAAATAACAAGCTGTGGGCTGCATTAATCTCAGGCCCTTTAGGGGGCAAATGAGGAGCTGTGACAGGCACCATACACAGAGTCACAGACTGGTTGAGGCTGGAAGAGACTTCTTCCACATTTCCTGCTCCACCAGCTCACCCAGAGTCAGCTGCCCAGGCCTGTGTCCAGTCAGGGTTTGAGTATCTTCAGGGATGGCAGTACCACAACTTCTTTGGGTAACCTCTGCCAGTGTTTGGTCCCTCCCAATGCAAAAATTTGTCTTCTTGTATTCAAACTGGCATTTTTAGCTCAAAGTTTGCATACAGATTCATACTGTGTAGGCCTTCTATCAAACCCTGAAAACTCTCTACAAATCCATTTCCCACACAAACTGGATTTGCTAATTTTTAATTTGGGCCCTTTCCCTCATTTACTATTTTAGGCCCATTGCCTCGTGTCCTGAACACGCTGAGAAGAGTGCAATTCCCTCTTTTTCACTCCCATCCATTGGGTATTTATACACATGGATAAGGCCCCCTGAGCTTTCTCCTCTCCAGGCTGGAGTTCCAGCTCCCTCATCCTTTCTTCATATGAGATGCTCTGGTTCAGTAAAGACCTTTATGCCTCTCAAGACCCATAGGTGGGTGTTTTTCTACCTGGCATGGACAATTGACCTTCCCTGCAGGGAAGTGGAGGCTCACTGAGGGCAGCGAATGCTACCCACACATCTCCGGGGGTGCCATTCCTCCTCCAACTGCAGACCAGGAGATCCCCCTTCACTTGAACCATGGAAGTTTCCAGATGTGCCAAGAGAGGTCAGGATGCTTGGCATGTCCTGTGACCTGGCACCTATGTAGTGACTTCAGCAGAGTGGAGATGTGTTGGGTCCATCCCTGGCAGTGCCCTGCTGCCATGCAGCACTGGCCCACCCGCTAAACAGGGCCCTTGTTCAGCTCCTCCACAGGAAATCTGTGTCTCTGGCCATCCCACACAGGGACTCACTGACAACGTGGTGTGGTCACAGGAGCACAGTCCCTGAGGTGGCACCCATGGCTCCACCCAGATCAGAACTCACTCCCCTGTTCCTGCTCAGTGACATGAACAGGTATGCAAAAGCCCCAGCTGAACATCCTTAACAGGAGAGGGATCTGTTACAGTGAGTCGACCCTATTGAAATGGATATGTTGGAACTAACTGATCTGGATGAAACTAGATGATTTTTAGTGCCCCTTCCAATCCAAATCATTCTATAATTCTATGAATGCCCAGAGCTGTGAGAGAGCTCCCCAGTCCTCACAGTGCTGCCCATGCTGGAGGCCAGGCTAAGCACACCCACAGCCTGGGCTTCTCCTGCTCCAACTCCCTCGGGATGCCCATTGCCCTGGAGCTGACCCAGCTGTGTCACAGGCCACCCCAAACATTCACAGTCCCGTGGGGCCTCCAGATAGACCAGAGGGCTCAGCACTCCACCCTGAATGAAGGCATCTCAACACTGGGCTCCCAGCAGGTTAAGGCTGAAGGACCCTGCCCTCCTGCCCATGTCACCCAACAGCAATGTGCAAAGGAGGTGTTAGACCTGGGATAAAGGTGGTGGGCCAAGTCCTGATTTGGGCAACATTTGCCTTCGGACACATCATGCCCCAGTTCTGTGCAGCCCCCAGCCTTGCTGCATGAAGATAGCAGTGCAGCTCTCCACTCTCCTATTCCTCTTGTGATGTGCCCCAGCTCCCCATTGCCTTTGATCCATCTCAGCTCCTCCAGTGGCTCCCAGAGCAAGGTGAGATGGACAGGAATGGGCAGAGAACACCCGACCCCTTAGAAGGGACATGTGAATGATCACCAAGGCTGATCCCTGGGGAAACCAGACATATGGCAGAGAGAGATCGGGTGCCTTTGTCTTCCCAAAGCAGCCCCATCTCCCTGCCTGGCCCTCCTCAGGTTCTGTGAGCTTCCCTCGTGGAGAAGCCCTCCCAAGGCTGGCACAGCAGCATCTGCATTACAAGGTACAGCTCTTGGGTCTCCCTGGCATGTAGAACAACCATGTGGCCACACCTCAGGGTGTGCTCAATGCAGCTGATCCCCACCAGGAATCTCTCTGGGTCCCTTGAGGGAGAGACAACCTGTGGGTTTGCCCTGCACAGGGGGATATTTCCCTGCTCCATAAGGTGCAGGGATCTGTGATATTCTGCGTCTGCTGAGACACTACTAGCTCTGAGCCATGGCAGCCTCAGGATTCTTTGTGGTGATTTTTTTGTTAAACGTGCCCCTTGATTCCCATAATTGTGTTCTATATTTAGAGGCTGTTACGCTGCTTCAATTTTCTCTCCAATTGCCTCTGAAGGAAGCCTGCATCTCTCTCTTTTTCCCTGACTGGTTTATTTTTAGACTCCTCATTTCCAGCCGTGCGTGCTCCTAGGGTTTTGCCGTAAATATTTTACAGCAATTTTCACAGGTGGGGGAGCCACCAGAGCCTCCTGACAGCTCTACTCTGCATGCATGGTGCCTTTAGTGCCCCTCCCAGAGGGGAAGGAGCTGCTTTCCTGACAGAGATGGGTGGCACAAGCAGGAGAGGAGTGTTGGATCCTGGCTTTGGGGTCACAAAGTCTCCCCTACAAAGAAGTCCCTCTAAAATGAATGTGGTCATGTCCAGGACAAGTGGCCTGGCAGGGAGGTCAGGCTGAAGCCCCACTGCCAAGTGAGGTTGTGTGAGACCCAAAGCAGTCTTGGTGCCTGCTGGAGGGGCTGGCACAGGCTGGGGATGTGCAGAAAGTGCATCTGAGTAACTCCAGGAGGAGAAAAGGATGTGGCTGCCTAATTCCTCTGAGGTGCTGCTTTTCTCTCTTAGTGGTGGGCGCCTGAGCCCTTGACCTCGAGGGAAGGAGAAAAAGGATGATAAAACCCATTTTCTTCCAAGTCACAAGCTGAGGCTTTAGATTGGTCAAACAAGGCATTTTTGGCTCTGCCCTCATGTGGGTAAGGTGCTCCTAACACATTTTCATGTGCCTGTGCACCTGGATCAGGACTTGTGCACAAGGCAAACTGCAGGGACTCAGCAAGAACAAGTTTAATACTCTGAGCTGTCTTGCCAAGTATTGTCTGAAATCAGCTGCCACCCCTTCCTACATCCACTGGGTGTTCAGCCTCACGGCTCTGAGTCTCTTTCCTGCTGCCCAGAGGAGACTTTGTAAGATCTTGCTTTTCTCTGCAAGTTACTCCCAGCTGAGGATGGCAGATTGGCACCTTCAGCCAGGGGGCTGAGCTGCTCTTAGTGGCAGCTCAAACACACTGGAGATGTCACTGCCCACTGGAAGGGATGCTC